TTTTTTTTTTTTTTTAAATAAAACTATATATTTGTCAGTATTACATATAAAAAAAATGCAAAAGTACATTTTTAAATTGATTTAAAAAAAGTAACGGAAAAGTAACGAAAAGTTATTTTTCAAGTAACGGTAACTGTAACGAGTTACTTTTAAAAAGCGATAACTGTAACTGTAACTAGTTACATTTTTTACTCGGTAAGGAGTAACTGTAACTAGTTACTTTTAAAAAGTAACTTTCCATTCCCTGGATAAATGGCAAAAATGTAGGGGTTTGAAAAAGTTATTTTTTAATATGGAAAATAAATTATTTTGGATTTCTAATATTTTTTTTACAGTAGTAGATGCAAAGTTTTTATGTGTATAATTAAGGTACTAGTCTCGTAACACGCACGTTTTTTTAGGTTATTTTCAGGAATTTTTTTTAAGAAGAAAATGAAATTCAATCGATTCTAGTTTTTTATATGTCATTGTGGGCATAAAGTATACGAAAAAATTTTTTATTTACTTTTTTTTTACATTATTTATTTATGTTTTTTATTAATGAAGAAAGCACTAAAAAAAAAAAAGGTGGGTCGCTGGCCCCGGTGATTTCTCTGTTTCTTGGCATCTGAAACAAAAAAACGAAATAGATTATTAGGCTTAAATAGTTCTGTAGGCTTGTAATTCTGGTAGGTAGCAGAATTAATAAATTTGGTTCAAAAATAACAAAATGGCGGACTTTGGAAAAAAACGACATTTTTTTTTAGTACAAATCGGGCTGTAAAATGGAAATTTAGAGCCGAAAATATACAATTCTGCTACCTGCGATAGCCACTGGTGTGTAGAATAACATACTAAAATTTCAGCAAAATCGATTGGAGAGAAAATTTTTAATCACCCGGGCCAGCCGTAAAAACGCTGTTTCGAGAAAAACGCGTTTAAAGTTTTGACAACAGATTTATGATAGAAAAAGCATACTTACACTAATCGGCTATCCCAGGTGCGTAGAGTAGACCTTCCGTTTCTTCGTAGTTATCATTTTGTGCCACTTTTTGTGATCTGCGAGCGATTCTGGCCTCTTTTGAGGTGAAAACTGCGTTCTTTTCAGTAGTCGAGATCCGAGAGTCGTACATATTTGCATAAGCTCTAGCGTGCGGGCCAATTGTGACACCCATGGTCTCCATGATTTTTAACACAGGTA